GGACCTTGTACTTGCCAGGCAGGCGTGGCACCACTAAACTAAACCCCAGCCTCCATCATAATTCTTGATGACTTGAAACTCTTTCCAAATGAACTAGAGTACCAAGTAGTCCAAAAGTATTTATTTCAGATTATTAGAAATGGATTTTGTCACAGTCCCAATATCAGAGCTGCTGGCTGGAGATATCAAGTATAGCAAGGCTGTTGCTGTCTGGGCCATTGGGTGTCTGTAACGGAAATACTCCTAGGGGAGCAAGCCCCTGTTTCCTGGAGACTCTGATATTGACCAGCTCTATCATATTATGATGCATTTAGGGAATTTATTTCAAAGACACCAGGAGCTGTTTCATAAAAATCCTGTGTTTGCCAGAGTGCAATTGCCTGAAATCAAGGAAACAGAACCTCTTGAAAGAAGCTATCCTAAACTCTCTGAAGTGACAGATTTAGCAAAGAAATGCTTACATGTTGACCCAGAAAAAAGGCCATTCTGGGCTGAGGTCCTGCATCCTGATTTCCTTCAGATGATGGATTTGCTGAGAGATTCTCCCAGAAACTACAGTTAAAACAAAGCAAAACAAAACAAAAAAATACAGAGGTGGGCATAGTGGCGCACACCTACAATCCCGGTATGCAGGAGACTAGGCAGGAGTAGGTTCAAGGCTAGCCTGAACTATATAGCAAGACACTGTTGCAAAAAACAAACAATAATAATAATAATAAAATAAAAAGGTCTATTTCCTTTTTTCTTCAATTCCTTTTCTATCCCCTTTTCTTCCCTTCCCCTTCTCTCCATCTCTTATTCCTCTTCCCATTTGAAAACGATCTCCCTGCTTCCTATTATCTATCTTTTATTTTGCTCTTGTTTAGATTTCTCGAAGAAAAGAAACCATGGGATATTTAAGCTTGGGTGTTTGATTTATTTTATTTAATACTGTGGTCTCAAGGTGCATCCATTTACCTACAAATGTCTCAAGTTTATCCTTCCTTATGGTGGAGTAGTACTCCATTATATTTAAATATCACATTTTCTTTATCCATTCATTTGTTGATGGGCATATAGGCCATTTTTAAGATTTAGCTATTATGAATTGTGCTTCTATAAACATGGGTGTGCATGTATCACTGTAATATGATGACTAACTCTTTCAGGAAGATACCTAGGAGGGAAATAGCTAAGTCAAATGGAATTTCTATTTTTAGTTTTTTTGAGAAATCTCCACAGATTTTTTTTTTTTTTTTTTTGACGGGGTCTTGCTGTGTAGTTTAGGGTAGCCTTGAACTGACTATGTAGCCCAGGCTGGCCTCAAACTCAAGGCAATCCTCCTGCCTCAGCCTCCCAAGAGTGCTGAGATTATAGGTGTATGCCACCCCACCTGGCTCTACACTAATTTTCATAGTGATTGTTTATATTCTCACTAACAATGTAGAAGGGTCCCTTTTTCTTTGGAGCCACACCAGCATTTGTTATTTGATTTCTTGACATAGCTATTCTTTCTGGAGTATGATAGGATCTCAGTGTTGTTTTAATTTGCATTTCTGTAATGGCCAGAGATGTTGAACATTTTCCCATATATTTATTGGCCATTTGTACTTCTTCTGAGAAGTGTCTATTCATTTCAGTTGCCCATTTTTTGATTAGGTCTTTTATTTTGAGGGATCTAATTTTTTGAGTTCTTTATATAGTCCAGATTAGTCCTCTGATAGGACTAATAATAACTGGCAAAATTTCTTTCCCATTCTGTAGGTGGTCTCTTTATTCTGTTGGTTATTTACTTTGTAGAAGCTTTTTATTTTAATAGGATTCCCTTTGTTGATTCTCAGTATTATTCCTTTTATCTTGGGATTCTGTTCAGAAAGTCCTTGCTTATGCTTATGTCTTGAAGAGTTTTGCTTATTTTATCTTCCAGAAGATTAAGTGTTTCTGTTTTAACATTAGTTTTTTCTTTTTTCTTTTTTGAGACAGGGTCTCATCATGTAGTTCAGGCTGGCCTCGAACTCACTGATCCTCCTGCCTCAGCCCCTAGAGTGCTGGGATTACAGGTGTGTGCCACCACACCCTGCTTTAACATTAGATTTTTGATCCATTTTGATTTTAGTTAGTGCATGGTGACATATATGGGTCTAGCCTCAATCTTCTGCATTTCCCCAGTACCATTTATTAAAGAGATACTCTTTCCTCCAGTGTATGTTTTTGGCCCCTTTGTCAAAGATCAAAATAGTTGAACGTGCCTGGGGTTGTTTTACTTCCTTTTTCAGAGTTCTATAATTTTCACTGTAGAGGTCCTTCATTTCCTAAATTAGATTAATTGCTATTGTGAATGATATCATTTTCCTAATATCTTTCTCAGTGAATTCACTGTTAGTGTATGTATAGGAATGCTGTTGATTTTTGTGTATTGATTTTGTATCCTGCTACATTGCTGAATTTGGTTATTAATTCTGGGAATGTTTTGGTAGAAATTTTTGGGTCTGGTAAGTAGAGGATCCCTTGGGTTTCTTTTGCCACTGATTTCTAGTTTCATTGCAGTATGACCTTATAATATTCATGGTAAAATTTTGATTCTTTTGCATTTACTTAACCATGCTTTATTGGCTGTCGTGTGGTCTATTTTGGAGAAAGTTCCACGTGCTGGCAAAAAGAATATGTATTCTGTTGTTGTTGGGTGGAACATTCTGTATATATCAATTAAGTCCATTTGTTCAAAGGTTTGGTTCAGCTCTGATATTTCTTTGTTAATTTTTGTCTGTTAGTGGTGTATTGAGGTCCCCTCCTATAATTGTATTGATGTTTGTCTGATTTTTTTTTTTTTTTAGGTACCAGGGATCGAACTCAGGACCTTGTGCTTGTGAGGCCGGCACAGTGCCACTGCATTAAATCCCTGGCTCTGTGCTAAATCCCCGGTCCCAGTAGTGTTTGTTTTATGAAGATGGGTGCACCATTGTTTGATCCACATATTTTTATAAGTGCTACCTCTTCCTGTTTAATAGTTCTCTTAACCAAAACTTAGAATCCTTTTTTGCCTCTTCTGATCAGTTTTGGTGTAGGGTCCTCTGTCTGAAAATAGGGTAGTTATTCATGCTTCTTTGGGGGTTGGTGGAATATTCTTTTCCAGGCTTTGATTTTTTTAGCCTATGAATTCATTTTGAGCTAAATATGTTTTTTTTTTGTGAACAGGATACTGTTGGATTTTGTTTCCTGATTATTCTGCTAATCTGTCTTTTGATTGGTGAATTAGGACCACTCACAGTTATAACTAATAAGTATAACTTATTCTTGCTATTGTATTATTTTCCTGCTGCATTTCCCCAAACTAAGCTACACAGCCTTGAAAGCCTTGAGAGCCTTGGAAGATGTAACTTGAACTTCTAGGCTGATAAAGAAAGAGAACAAAATTATTTCTGAATCTCAAATACCTTCTCTGCCTGCCATTGACTGGCAAGCCCCAAGTCTGATGCTATACCAGGTATTAGGACCGCCTCTGTCAGATGTCTTGGAAGTGATTTGCCTCGGGTAGAACCCCAGCACTGAGGATCACTCCAGTTCTGAACAAAGTGTTACGCCTGAGATGACATCCTTTTGCAACAAGAGTGCTGATATTGGGCCAGGGATTTAGCTCAGTGGTTTCACCG